CCCCCAGAACGCACCAAGACGACTACGTGGTCACGAAGCCTCCCAAAAATGTCCGCGAGCTCCTGTACTTCCCCGATCACGGCAATCCGCCTAGGCATCTTTTCTGGACAGGCTCGTGGGGATGCGCGAAGCGCTAAGAATCGACCAGAACTGAACATGTGAAATGATCTGTGGCCTGGGAGACGCCTCGCATGCACGTTCGATACGCGCACAGAATTCGCGGCGAGCCATTGGGGGCAAGCCGAAAGTTACTTGCACGCTTTCCCTGCCCAGGGGCGTAGGCCATACACTGACACGCCGATTGTGGCGCGGCCAGGTCCATCCCTGGAAGCTTCAACCGGCAGCGGCATCGCGCACACAGAACCGCAGGGAATTGTGGGGCGGGGGCGCGCACCCAAGGCTCGGTGGATTTACTGCCCTTGCTGCCCTGCCCCACTTCTCTATCTTGAGCGGGCTGCGGCCCTAAGGACGCAGCCAACTCTGGAACCTCCGCGTCCTCACCCGTCTCCCCTCCTCTCCTCTCCTCTCCTTCTCTGCGACCCGTCCCCCTCCCCTTCCCTCATTGATGATTCCCTCCTTCATGCCCTCACAGCGGGAAATTGTCCAACAAATTCTCGCTGGGGCTGTCAGCAGCTCCCGGTGCAGAACTCGTTGAAGTGAGATTAAGCAGCCAGGGAGGCTCATGCACATTCATTTGAAGCCGGCGCACGTGGCGCGCGTTGCGCTCCTGGATAGGAAAGAATCCCACCAGCCCTTTGGGCGTGAGTGGTTTAGCGAGCTCTCTCTGTTCTCAACCCCCCTTCTTCCCCTTCGGGGAGGGGTTTACCCCTCCCCCTACCCCCTCCCCCTGGGCCTGGAGAGGGCGTTTCGCGGGTGGTTGGAGGGGTCTTTTTCGACTCCTGGGAGGGCTAAAATTCGACACCCCTCACGAGGATTCTGGCCCCGACGGGGGGGGCAGAAAAATGCTCGCCTCATCTGTGATCGATCGCCCGACAGATGGCCCCAAGTTTCCTCCCAGACCCCTCCCAGAGAGCCCCACGAGGCCCCAAGAGGCCTCCAAGAGGCCCCCAAGATGCCCCCAAGAGGCCCCCAAGAGGCCCCAAGAGGCTCCCCCGAGGCACCCACGACGCTCCTGGAAGCCCCTGGAGCCGCCAAGAGGCCCCCAAGACGCCCCAAACGGCATCCAAGAGGCTCCCAAGAGGCCCGAAGAGGCTCTCCCAAGGCACCCAAGACGCTCCTAGAAGCCCCTGGGGCCGCCAAGAGGCCCCGAAGACGCCCCAAGAGGCCTCCAAGAGGCTCCCAAAAGACATCTACTACTACTACTACTACTACTACTACTACTACTACTACTACTACTACTACTACTACTACTACTACTACTACTACTACTACTACTACTACTACTACTACTACTACTACTACTACTACTACTACTACTACTACTACTACTACTACTACTACTACTACTACTACTACTAACTACTACTACTACTACTACTACTACTACTACTACTACTACTACTACTACTACTACTACTACTACTACTACTACTACTACTACTACTACTACTACTACTACTACTACTACTACTACTACTACTACTACTACTACTACTACTACTACTACTACTACTACTACTACTACTACTACTACTACTACTACTACTACTACTACTACTACTACTACTACTACTACTACTACTACTACTACTACTACTACTACTACTACTACTACTACTACTACTACTACTACTACTACTACTACTACTACTACTACTACTACTACTACTACTACTACTACTACTACTACTACTACTACTACTACTACTACTACTAGTTCTAGTCCCACCAGCCCTTTGGGCGTGAGTGGTTTAGCGAGCTCTCTCTGTTCTCAACCCCCCTTCTTCCCCTTCGGGGAGGGGTTTACCCCTCCCCCTACCCCCTCCCCCTGGGCCTGGAGAGGGCGTTTCGCGGGTGGTTGGAGGGGTCTTTTTCGACTCCTGGGAGGGCTAAAATTCGACACCCCTCACGAGGATTCTGGCCCCGACGGGGGGGGGGGGGGAGAAAAATGCTCGCCCCATCTGTGATCGATCGCCCGACAGATGGCCCCAAGATTCCTCCCAGACCCCTCCAAAGAGCCCCAAGAGGCCCCAAGAGGCCTCCAAGAGGCCCCCAAGATGCCCCCAAGAGGCCCCCAAGAGGCCCCAAGAGGCTCCCCCGAGGCACCCAAGACGCTCCTGGAAGCCCCTGGGGCCGCCAAGAGGCCCCCAAGACGCCCCAAACGGCCTCCAAGAGGCTCCCAAGAGGCCCGAAGAGGCTCCCCCAAGGCACCCAAGACGCTCCTAGAAGCCCCTGGGGCCGCCAAGAGGCCCCCAAGACGCCCCAAAAGGCCTCCAAGAGGCCCCAGGACGAGGTGCCCGAACGCCTCACGCAACGAGGAGCCCGAACGACTCACACCAGGACGAGGGGCCCGAACGACTCACACCACGAAGAGCCCGAACGACTCACACCAGAAGGAGGGGCCCGAACGACTCACACCAGGACGAGGCGCCCGAACGACTCACACCACGAGGAGCCCGAACGACTCACACCACGACGAGGGCCCCGAACGACTCACACCACGAGGAGCCCGAACGAGTCACACCAGGAGGAGGGGCCCGAACGACTCACACCAGGACGAGGGGCCCGAACAACTCACACCACGAGAAGCCCGAACGACTCACACCAGGACGAAGAGCCCGAACGACTCACACCACGAAGAGCCCGAACGACTCACACCAGGAAGAAGGGCCCGAACGACTCACACCAGGACGAGAAACCCCAAACGACTCAAACCACGAGGAGCGCTTTCTCTCCCTCCTCCTCCGCCTCGTCCTTCTCCCGCTCCCACCACAAGGAGGATGTACACGGAGGCGGGAGGAAGGAGGAACAGGGGAGATATGCGGGGGCAGGCGGAAACACGCCTGAAAAACACGACTGTCGGCATGCTTCGCAAGAGTTGCTGTTTTGGGATGGGCTGGTGGGGATACGCGAAGCGTGAAGAATTCTGAAACACCCAGTGGGCGCTAATCGCAAACCTTCCACCACCAGGCATCTTTCAAGCGCGCACACGCACGCACACGCACACATACACACACACGCACACACACACACGCACACACACACACACGTACACACGCACACACACAATGAAACACAATAAGCCAAACAGGCAAGCACACACTTTCTAGCGTCGCGGCCACTCGCGCAGCGACGCGGCGGGGTCGGGCGAACAAAAGCATATCCCCGACAGAACTCGCGCGCGCGCTTGCCCGAGGCAGCCCCGGCGAGGAACGCAGGGCCCACCTACAGGGAGACCCACACTCTGCAGGGAGTCACGGAAGAGGGGGCATCCACGACGGGGGGCGGCGAAGGAGTAGTATACAGCCCACAAGCGGCAGGAGGCGGGGAGAGCGCCCCAGGGGTGAGAAAGCGGTCTCACGAGGGAAACAAATGAGAAGGGCAGCAAAGGCAGGGCGAGGCGGCACGGAAATCTTTCTGACCGCAACAAAAGCCAACAGACACATAAACAATCTGCTCGGCACGGGGCCGTGCTGTTTCAACGACTGCTGGAACCTGCTCCAGTCATTGCGGTTCAATGACTCGCCTCGTCGGGCGTTGGCATGGAACGATTTGCAGGCAATCATGGCCCAAGTCAAGTTCTACGGAAATACTCAACAACCTCGAGCGCCTCAGCACACTTCAACCTTCATATTGATGAGCGATCCCCGCTGCACGATGATTTCTTACGTGCCTCCTCATACTGGAAAGTCATCCGCACATTCCGAAAGGGCCGGAACACCAACGCCACAGTACATGCCACAGTGTTATGGATATACGTCTGGACCATCATCATCGTCATCATCATCAACAGCATCATCATCACCATCATCAGCATCATCATCTGCAGCGTCATAATCAGCATCATCATCAGTATCATCAGAATGATCATCATCATCATCGTCATCATCAGCATCAGCATCATCATTATCACCATCATCAACAACATCATCAACAACATTGCCATCATAATCACCATCACCGGCATCATCACCACCATCAGCATCCTCAGCATCAGCATCGTCATCATCGTCAACGTCGTCCTGGTCATCCTAATCGATAGCAGCATCAACATTATCATCAACAACATCACCAACACAATCATCATTGACATGTACACCATCATCAACACCGTTACGATCTTCATCATCGGCATGATCATCGTCATCAACACCATCATCGTCATCAACAGTCAGGTCATCATAACCGCTGCCATCACATTCATCGTCGCCACCACTTACAACTCATGGTCATTATCGTGCCCCGCCTCCCTTCCTCAGAGTCCGCGTCCAGCTCATCCTCGCTATGGTCCTGCTCTTGCCCCTCCTCGCCACCCTCCTCCATCGCTTTCTGCTGCTGGTTTGTCCGTGTCCTCATCTGCCTCCTCGTCTGCCTCCTCATCCGCATCCACCACGTCCAGACCTCGGGGATGCAGGTGCTGGCTGAGAGGATCAGGGCGCACGACACGGCCTCGAGCGCTGCCTAAGGTGGTGCACAACTTGGTTCTGGCAGTGGGCCCCCGAGGAAAAAAATCCTCGAACAGTCCTCCCTCGACCTCATCCCCATCCTCATCTACCTCGTCCTCGTCCTCTTCGTCCTCCTCCTCCTCCTCCTCCTGATCATCATCATCATCATCATCATCATCATCATCATCATCATCATCATCATCATCATCATCATCATCATCATCATCATCATCATCATCATCATCATCATCATCATCATCATCATCATCATCATCATCATCATCTCCTCCTTCTCCTCCTCCTCCTCCTCCTCCCCCTCTCATCCTCCTCATACTCCTACTCTACCCCTTCCCCCGCATAGTCGGACAAAGCCATGTCGTACCATCAGGGGGCTGCAAGGCTCGAATGATAAGAACGAAGACCGATCCGCACAGCCTCTGTACGTTGGTCAGCTGCCTCAGTAGTGGCGCCGATGCAGCCTCCTGAACCACATCCCATCATACAACGCTGGAGCACTAGAAGAAGACGGAAACCAAGGAAGATACCAGGATGAGGAGGTCCGCGGAGGAAAAAAAACAACAACGGACAGGTGCTGCGTGCGAGCGAGGCCCACCAGTAGCATGTCAGAAGCTGCGGTGCCAGCAGTGGTTGTGCAAGCAGGGGCCGCAAATAGTAGCTGCATGGGAATGGGAACGGGGGATCGAAATTGGAGGAGGAGGAGGTGGAGGAGCAGGAGGTGACGCTCCAGGGCCAGATCGTTGAGCTGAGGGAGCCTGGGTTCCTCAAACAGGGGCGATACGGGGAGGAATCGAAGGAGTGCTTACGCAGGACGGAAGATTTTCCGCTTGAGGCGCCAGCGGCGATAAACGGTGGGCGAGAGAGCGTCGGCTCCGCCAAACGCACGGCGTCTGGACAAGCTGCTTACAGCAGCCAGGGGGTGAGGATACATATATTCATGTTTTGTGCGAGCCGTGTCTGGTGAGGATTGATGGGGTCCGTGAAGCAGAGCGCGACCTGTCTGTGGTAGTTCGCAACCAACACCACACAATCTTGACAGCGGAGGGCCTGGGTGCCGCGGATCCGATTTCTCTTGGCCCCCTGACGTAAGCTACTAGTATCACGCTCGAGCAAGGTGTGAATCGGCTCCGGGCGAAACACAGGACGGAAATCAGAGCCACAGCATTTGAAAGAGGACCCGCGCGGATGGAATCCAGATCCACCGCAACAGAAATCAACACCAAATTCGGATCTGCACCCCTTTTGATTGGATCCGCCAAGATTTCTCCCACGCGCGACGGTAAACGGATTGAAGCCATGGTGTCGGGGCCCGCGAGGAATCAACTTTCGTCCTGGGGGTGTAGGGCGGGGCGCGAAGAAGAGGCGGCGGAGGAAGAGCCCTCGTCGCGGAAAGACGGGCACCATAATCAGACCTCGCCTCACCCTTGGTGGTGCAAGACGCGGAACTGTCGCCACCCCCTGGGTCGCTCAGATGAGAAGGATGCCGATACAGATGCGCCTCCTCGGGCGACGAGATCTGTAGTTATCCACCGCCACTGGCTAGATTCATCCTGGGCCCAGGAGCGGTGTGTAACCCCCCTGGCTTGGCTAGGGGGCGTGTACACCACTCCTTGGCCCAGGATGGGCCTGGCCAGGAGTGGTGGATATGTGTAGATCTCGTCGCCAGACTTCCCTCGCTTGCATCTTCTTGAACTTCCAGGGGGGGCCTTGTCGCCACAACTGGATTCGGTCCGAATCGTGGTCAGAGCAGGACCTGGGAGATGTCGGGGAGTAGCGGCATCGGTATCTTTCGGATTCTCCAACCAAGGTAAACGACAAGAGCGTCACGACACCCGAATTGGGCTAACCGCGAATCCGAATGACTCCAACCTGACGCCCCACCAACCAAAACCTCTAGATCTGATGGTATCGGACACAATATTCCGTGACGTTTCCAAGAAGCGCCGCTTGTGTATCTATTGTTCTGGTAGGCTGCCTTTAATCCGTTGCCACCTATGACATCGTTGGTTTCCTTGGCGTCCTTTTGTCCTCGCTCCATCACAACTAACTAAACGAAACCCATAGTGTTTGCAAACTGTGCCGAAAGGTTGACCGCGATGACCGCGGTCTTGCTCCAGACGTCGGCATGGCTTCCTCGATACTGACCTCCATCTGGGACTGAAGCCGCTCGAACTCGTCGCCCATCTTCGGTTGATTTGGAGATCGCTTGCACCAGCCGCCAACTGTCTGCATACGTTGCGCGATGTGCGTGTATTGACGCGCAACAAGTTGCAACGTGAACGGAACCACATTCACGACCGCTGATGCAATCAGATCTCCCATGGCGGCACCAAGTAGAAAGGCGATGCACGCACAGGATTCCCCATGGGGCGCGCGGCAAGGCCAATTATGCCGCAATCTGGCACCAAGAACCGCAGAGCACCAGGCTCAATCGCAATCCGGTGGCACCTAAGCAAATTCGTACTTTTGCCATGCACACCTTAGGGAACATCAAACTGAGGCTGATCGTGCGGAATGAGTTATAAATTTACATGAATTGGCATACCCGTGACAATGACAACGACTGGCGCGCTCCGCGAATACAACTCCCCACAAGCGTAGACCTCGAAAACGCCTCGCGACAGCAGCACGGGAAACGACGAGCACCGCCAGTGGGAGCTTCCTGATCACGTCCGCAACGGCTCACTACGCCAGACTGCACCTGCAAGAGCGCGGTCATGCCTCTTGGTTTTCGGGTCATGGCTCGGCTCTCCGGCGGCCGTTCTGGGCGATGAGGGTAGCACTGGAACGCTCTTGGCGAGGCGCAGCCGCTGGAAGGCATCCAGAGGCTGGAAAGACGCCGAGGCCGACGAACAAGTCCGAAAACCTGAAACCTCGAACCTCGAAACTTCGATGGTAATCTTCATGCCCCATGGCGTTCTTCCAGCGTCCAGCGCTCGACTGGCTGTTCTCTCGTGTGTGCCTCCTACTTGCACCCCCACGCTGTATTCCGCGTACTTGCTACATGAGTGCATGCCCCACTTCGTGGCCAAGCCAACGGGTTGGATGTCAGCTCTTCCTCTCACTCCTCCTCCTCCGCATTATCCTCTTCCTCCTCCTCCTCGTCCTCCTCCCCCCTACCACCACCAGCAACACCACCACCACCATTATTATCATCAGCATCATCCTCATCATCACCATCATCATCACCATCATCATGATCAGCATAATCATCATCTTAATCATCATCACCACTACCATCGTCATATTCAACAACAACATCACCGTCATCGTCATCGTCATCATCATCGTTATAATCATCATCACCATCACCACCACCATCATCATCAGCAGCAGCAGCAGCCTGTGCTTGCATGCTGGGCGCCCGTCTGCTTCCTGCCTGGCCGCGGCCAGATCTTTCGGGATAGCAGCTCCGACGGGCCTAGACTGCTCCGAAAGCCGCTGGTCCACAGCCTGAGCACGAGAAGCACTGGCAGCGCCCTCACTGGAAGTGCAGCACCTCCATGCGCATCAAGCGACAAGATCGGCCTCCCCATTCGCGCGGCTGCTCTGGGGAGGTGCTCTTGTGGACTTGGGGACCGAAAGATCGCGGGCGCAAGCTCTTCTCGTTCAACTGATCCAGCAACTCAACGCTGCTTGCGAGTTGCGCCTGCAAAGCCTAGACAAGGTCAGACCCCCTGGTCCTGCTGTGCGAACTTTGCCAGCAAGGGCCCACTCGCAGCAACCTGATGGCCGAGGTTTACAAAGAGGGGCCGGCACCCACTTCCCAAAGAAGTCCAAATTTCCGCAGATCGCCCCTGTATCGACCAGTCAATGTGAGCAGTGATGGTAGAATCACAATCATCATCACAATCACCACTGTCCTCATCATCCACAGCACTGGCATCATTGTAGGCAACATCATCCACAGCAGCATCATATTCATCGTCGGCATAATCATCCTCACCATCACCATCGGCATACGCCACTCGATCAGAATCACTCTCGACGCCTTCAGCATCCAGCAGCATCATTATCGTGAGCAGAATCCTGAACATCATCCCCAACCTTAGCACATTCATCCTCAGTATCATTCGCATCAATGACAGCATCATCATCCGCAGCTACATTAGCATCAACACCATTACCACCACAACCATCATCATCGTCATCATCGTCGTCAGTATCATCGTCATCATCAGCATCATCGTCATCATCACCATCACCATCAGCATCAACAGCAACATAAACATCAGCATACATCATCATCATCAACACCATCATCATCATCGTCATCTTCATCGTCGTCGCCGTTGTCAGCAGCATCACCATCACCATCATCACCATCAACATGGTCATCGTCACCACCATCATCATCACCATCAGTATCAGATCATCGTCATCATCATCAGCATGATAACCATCATCATCAGCATCATCATAATCAGCATCATCATCATCGGGGTAGCAGGCTCATCATCCCCATGATCATCATAACCACACCAAATGTCAATCACATCCCTGGAATTCGAACCACAACTATCAGCATTATCACCCTCTTCACGTCAATCATAATCATATTCATAAGCAGAGGCACCATCACCACCACCCTCATCATACTCCTTCCCTCTGCCTCCACCTCCGTCGCATCCTCCTCCGCCCCCTCCCCTCCTCATCACTATCCTCTTTCGCTCTTCATCCCCTCCTCTAACCCTCCTCCTCACCCTCCTCCTCTTCCTACCCCCCTCCTCCGGATCCTCCCGCACCTCCCTCTCCTCCCCTTATTCTTCCCCCCCTCCTCCCTCCCCTCCTACCTCCCTCTTCTCTCCCGCTCCTCCCACTCCGACCCCCCCCCCGGGGTCTGTCCCCGGCGGTCAATGAGTCCGTCTGGCACACGGACGCCCTCTGCGACCTCCTGCGCCAGTCCTGGCCCAGCCCGCCCCCCCCCGACGCGCAGTGCGGGACGAGGAGGGAAATGAGGAGAGCGGAGGGAGAGGAGAGGGAGGGCGGAGGATTAGGGGGAGGAGGAAAATGAGGAGGAGGAGGAGCAGCAGCCGGAGGACCAGTGCAAACCCAAGACTCACCAACGATGTTGCAATTCAGCCTCCCTCCAAGCTCCCTCTTCATAGGCCCCTAGAAGGACTTATATCACTCAAGAAAGTGCCCTGTTGGAAAACAATCGTCTGAAAATCCTGAACCGTGCCAAATCACCATTCCTGCTGGGACCTCAACGCCGCGAATCGACTTCACCACCACGAATCAGCATGACTGCTGCGCCCTGACAATCCTAACTACATCGTGCCAAAACCAACATTCTGGGATTTCAACTATAAGAACCCTTTGAAACTGCTGTCAATTTTTTAGACGGATGTGCACGGCGCTACGGCGACAGCCACAATGTATTTGAAACTACTTCGCGCGGCGCTCAAGCCAGAGCCACATTTTGAGAAGGTACCGCCCTCCATCGGTGAAGCTCCTGCAAGCT